GGGGGGGGGGGGGGGAGAAAAGAAAGAAATAGAGATATCAGCCCTGCACATGGACAGAAGTCAAAAATTAAAATGAGCAGGAGAAGATAATGTAAAGCAGTTAGATAAGTCTAATGTTAGTAAAAACAGGAGTTGGTGAGGTTTATGGTAAAGTGCAGCAAAACTGTCTGGTTGGGGATTGAAGCCACTAGTTAACACCAGGTTCAGTGAATGATGCTTGGGAATCTTCTGAATAGTTTTAGACTGGTCAAAAAGCAGACTTGAACATAAATGCTCCTGATGTTTTAAATATTTACAACTAATTAAGTCATCTGCAAATACTTTACTATGTGGATTAAATAAAACTGTTAAGCCAGTATGTAGCAGGCTCTTATGTGGCCTCTACAATCTGTTGAGGGAGAGAAAAGAATTAAAAAGAGATTATACTCATTAGAAGCCCTCTGATACAATTTGATGTTTTACCCTGTGCAGAGGCTCAATGAAAATTTCTGATTATTGGTCTGATTATTACGATTTTTATAAATTATAACATTCATATATGCTCATCATAGAAAAAAATATAGATGATCAAACAAATAAAAAACCCCCCAAAATCCAATCCACTACTCAGATTATCACCACTCTTAGGATTTTAATGTATTTCCATTTTATATAATCAAATTAAAATTATATTGTACAATCTGTTTTGATATATGGCCCTCAGTTTTTTTGTTATCTTGAATATAAAATTTGTTATTTGGAATTGAACCCCAAATCCTAAAAATAAGCCCTGTGTGAGCATGTGTGTGAGAGGAGAAAGCTGTGACAATCTCACTAACATGTGGGGAGGAATTTTCTTGCCCTGCAGGGTCTCTGTGTTAGGGATGGGTATTGGTCCTTCTCTGCTAATAGTAGGGATTACCCACATTTTTAGGATGTTGACAGGCATGTGTATTAGCAAAGAATGAAGAGGAGGCTGTTACAAGCAAGAGTGGTTTTTTTTCCCCCCAGAAAATATTTTGGCAGAAAAGAAGTGCTTTCCTAAGGTAGCCAAGTATTTTTAAGATATTCTTATTGCTTTCACAGGTTGAGTGGGCCCATCATGTGAATGTTGGCTACTAAAAAGGTATAAACATTTTGAAAACATTCTCTTTGCACCAAATGTTCCTTTAGTTAAAATAACTTGAGTAACGAGTCTTTGAAAATTCAGTTCTTGCTACATTTTTCAGGGAGAGACTAAAGGAAGTGAAAATTATCAGGAGGCCTTTCCTCCAAAAAGCTGGAATAGGCAGGTTATGGTGTTTCACGTGTGGTGTTCTGCGAAGGGGGCCAGTTATGAAGATTATCACGATTTAGTAAATGATCCCCGAACATCTGGACTCAGAAAGCAAGTAAGCACACTGCTAGGTTAGGTGCTTCAGCAAAGGATCTTCTTCTGTTTTTTTTCAATAAAGTTATTTGTTGCAAGGATCTTTGTGCCAGAGGCTTTAGCCACAGATTTTAGCCTAATAATCAATAATACTATGTCATGAAGCATGCTGCATGGCTATAGGCCTATTTTTTCCCCCCAATTTGTGAAGCCCTTTTTATCATCATGATGAATTTGTAGCAAGAATCTTATTTTCCTGGAATGCATGTGTTAATGTTAAAGATCCGTAGTTGTTTGGATTGAACTTGATCATGATGGTGATGAGCATGTGCACATCGTTGGGTATACACGTGATAGACAGTACACACAGCAAAATGGGGACAAAGGGTAGGGTAGTAATAACTGTGAGCACAGTCATGCCATGTTCCTGTGGTTCCTTTTATCATGGGCTGGCCAGATAGGCAGACAGTTTGCCAAAACTGAAGATAATAGGTACAAAGGGTGAATTAAGGCAGCTAAAACTTACATTTCAAGGGGGGGGGGGACCTAAAAATCTCAACCATTTGTTCCTAACTATCAAATGTCCAAAAATGTTAAATTCACTGTGATTAATAAGAAAGCAGTTGGCTCCACAGATAATACATTTTTTCTATCATATGTATCTTCCTGCCATTTTTTCTTTCTTCAGAGGCAAAGAGAAAAACTTTTCAGACCAGAGCGGGATACAATTGGCCCAGGGGATTTGTCTTGCTTAGTCTATATGGTGTTAGAGACACAAACGTAAAAAACTTGTCTGTGTTGAATGGAGATTTTGCATAAAAATTTGGCGTTTCCACTAGTGTTTATATATTGTAACATTAATTCTGGATAATGACCAGAGGGTGCTGCTTATATGAGGGGCTGTGTTGTTTGCATTAGGGTCAAGGGGTCTGTCTGCTCACTCACAGCGATCTTGGCTTTGATGGCTGCCAACTTCTCCTGGGCAGCTATGAGGTCTGAGGTGGCTTTGCTTAATGCTTGGCGTTTGGGTTCCACATCACAGAACACCTCGTAGAATCTCACAATGTTTATAACCCAAGAGCAGAGGCCTGCAGCTGCATAGGACTTGCTGGCCACGAACTCAGGGTTGAACTCAGGATCCTGCAGGTATGGCCTGATGGCTCTGAGGCAACTCTCGGGAATGTTCTCCTTGTCGAAGTTGATTAGGGAATCCAGGAAGCTGTCCACTTTGGCCATAGTGACTTTGGCAGCCTTCCAGCTCCGGTCCTTGGGCACCTTGCCTCCTGGGGCCATGAGCACCATCACTGCAGCACTGACATTGCTGACGGCCAGAGGCGGGGAACCGAATGACTTCAGCTCTGTCAGGTTGGTCTGAGAAAAGAGAAAGAGGTCATTAGAGGAAAATGAATGAGCTTTCTTTGTCCTCGGCCACTAATGCAGTTAGGTTGTGGAATGATCAATCTGAAAGGCTGCTTTGAAGCCTGTAGCAGCCCTCTGAATTTTAAATATCATGACTCATCAAAAGGAAACCAAAGCTACTCCCCAGTGCTTCAGACTTCCCTGAATGGTTAGCTGAGACTCAGCTATGTTCTTTCAGCACTTTAACTGACTTGCAGCCTATTAGAAACACACAATTATTTCATATTCAGCTGAAAAATACAAGGATGCCAACATACTCTGAAATATGCAGCATGGCATGAATAAAAGATAAGGTTATTATAAATTAATTTCCATCTTGAATTGAAGAGAATAGCACTGAAACTCAACTATTTTTTTTTCTTTAATTAAACTGCTTTGTTCCATGAGCTCATTCTAACTACACTTGACTGTTCTGAGAGCAAAGTGGCATTTTCTGCCAGGAAATAGTTCAGACTGAAAGCCAGGCACAGCTCAAGGGTCAACTGCCTCCGTAGGGTCTAAGGTTGATCCTTTGCTCCAAGTCTCACTTGCTCCAGACACTTGGGGCCAAGTGCAGTCCTTGGAATATCACTTAAACTTCCCAGGCCTTGGTGCTTTCATATTTAAAGTGGGGACAGAGGAACCCACTAATATATATGTGAAATTATGTCCTCAATGCACGTGAATTTGCTTTTATGACATTTCAGTGACAAGGCCAGAACTGTGAAACTACTCACTGACAAGGCTGATTTTGTAAATGAGGGAAGATTTTGATTTCAAAGATTAGATCCTTTTCCAAATGAACCTGAGGTGCTTCTGAGCCTGGAAACCCACCAGAGGAGGATTATTTCTAGCCTTAATGGAAGTACTAAGGAAGATGCCCCATTTCCTCTTGAGATGTTTTCACATTGGGTCATGACTCCCTGTCAAGGGCAGGAACAAAGGACAGCACAGGTGTGACAGGGATGCAGGCACAACTGTGGTGGCTGCCTCCACGGAGATGAGAGATAACAAAGGGAGGACAAACAAAGAGAAACGAGAAACTCCACCACTGAGAAATAGCATAGGTCAAGCACATTCAAAGGATTCAATTAAAAAATAGAAAAATATATAAGGATGAAGATGAATTCTACAACCCAGATATATCATTGTGATAATTTCAGAGTAATTCCTTCTGGTATTTTTCATTTTCATCTGTAACCTATAAACCAATAAAGGCTCTTTTGGTCTTATTGAAAGAAACCCTTGCTGAAGTACAGGCAGCTTTTCTTGCTCATGGGTCTGAAAAGGTGGACACAGACTTGTCTGCAGGGATGAGTGGAATCACATTTTAAATGTCTGCAAGAAACCCTGGATCTTCTTTTGTTCCCATGTCTTCCAGTGTGTGGGTTGGTTTTGGCCATGTCAGTTTCTTTGTGTTACACTGTTCATGGTCTAACTCACTGACCTGGGCCACTCTCTCCCTTTCTCACTCTACTCTAACCATAGATTCTTCCTATTATGGTTCGAATAATGTCCCTGAAAGGTCCATGTGTAAAAGCTTTGTTCCAAGTGCGGCACACTTGAGAGAAGCTGAGAACCTTTAAGAGGAAGGGCTCACTGGGAGGCCACAGGTCACTAAGGATGTGCTCCAGAAAGTCATTGTAGGACACCAATCTCTTCCGTTTTCCTCACTCCACATCCTGGCTTGAGGTGTGAACATTTGTTCCTGTACATGCTCCTATCATAATGTACCACCGTTGCCTGCGGTCCAGACCCATGGGGCCAGCTGATCTTGGACTTAAACTTCTAGAACCATAAGCCAAAATAAATATGTCTTTACTTCAGCCTGTTTCAGGTATTTTGTTATAGTGACATGAAGCTGACTAATACATTTTTCCTCAGGGTATTGATTTGCCAAATTAATTCCCATCTCAGTACCTCAGACTGAATACTTTCTAAGCCAGAGCTCAATGCAAAGGTCCCCCACTCGGAGTAACTCTACCCACAACCTTCTCCTTAGTCCTTTCTTATCCTGGTACCGTGATGATATCCTTCAGAGAGCTTATTGCCATCTAAAATGATTATCTCTTTTTCCTTGTTGACTTCTTCATGAGAACAAGGGCTCTATCTTGTTAACCATAGAATCCCCAGTGCCTAGAAAAAAAACTATTACATAGTAAGTCCTCAGGAAAACAGGCATTGAATGATTCTGCCTGAGGAATTTACTCTTTTCCAAATTTATTTTCAAATTTCTTCTCAGAAAGCTGTACATCACCTTCTTTATAAATTTTTATTAGAACATGTTTGCAGTTCCTAATGATTACATTTATTGTGGGGCGGTTGCACATGTACATAGTATGTCTTAATTCTTATTTTTTCTTCCCCTTTCCCTCTGTGGTGGTTAATTAACGGTCAGTTTGATTGGGAATGCCCAGCTGAATTGAATCAGTGTGCTTCTGGGGAACAGTACCAAGGGAGAACAGGAGGCGAGGGTTTTATGCTGATCCCTACAATCCCCCCAAGCTTCGGCTGTTCTCTTCCTCTGACTTTCGGTCTTCACCTTCCCAGAGGCTGTTGTTCTCTTGGGAGGAGGTCTCGTCCTCGCCTTAGTCTTGAGCATAGTCTTTTGGCCTTTAAGACCGACCCGTGGCTGGGAGCCCTGGTCTTCGTCTTTTCCCTGGGCATTGTCTCCTGGTTCTCAGCACGGATTCTTCGGCTTCCAGCGTGCCTTCCACCCCACTTGCCCACGCAGGGTCTCTAGCCTCCGGCACCGGCCCTTGGACGTTCCAGCACAGATCCTTCAGTTTTCCATGGAGGATTCCTCACCTCCTGGTGCAGACTTGCACGGGACATTACCCTGGGATCCAGGCCCTTGGCTGGATTCCTCAGGTCTCTAGCACATGGACAGATGTCTTGCACCCTTCTACATCTGCCTCTAGTAAGCATTGACTAATACACTCTCCCATTGACCCCTGATCCCTCCAACTCTTCTTCTCCTTCCCATTTGCAAAGGCTCTATTTCCATTTTTTTCTTTAAGTCTCTTTTAAAAATCCCCTTTCCCTTCTGCCTTCTACCACCTCCCTCACCAGGTGCTCAGCCTCAGTACTCCTCCTTGCTGCCCTACATTCTTTTTTTCTCTCCACAGTACCTGTTATAGTCTACTATTTTGTATAAATTACCTTTTTATTATGCTTGCTGTCTCTTGCCTCTGCTAGACTATAAGCTTTCTAGAGGCAGAGATCTTCACTCATCCCTGCTAGGTACACAAAGAACATCAGTAAGTCTTTGTTGAATGAATAAATGAATGAACAAATGTTATGCAGAGAGTCATTCACTGGACAGATACTTATTCAGTGTGTGGCAGGCCTTGTTTTGGGTAATAAAGATACTGTGTAAACAAGAGAGCCAGAATCCTTTCATTCCTTCAGGTGGGAGAGACATGTGACAAAGAGATAAAATCTTTGATATTTTTGATAGTGAGTAAAACACACCAGGGCAAATGGATTCTTGGAGTGGGATGATACCACATGTGCTAGCGAGGTAAGTCTGGGGAGGCCTCTTTGAGAGTGGGCATTCCAGCTAGGATCTAAAAGAGAGGAATGAGAAAGACTGTTCTAGCGATCTGTAAGGCAACTGTTCCAAGCTGAAGAGTCAGCAAATGCAAAGGCCAGAGGCAAGAGGACTTGGCCCTGAGGTAAAGTGCACAGAAGTCAGGAGAGCCCTGGTGCAGCCAGGGCCAGGCCATGAGGTGCTCCACAGGCTGTGGGGAGGATTGTGGATTTTATTTTCATTTTGTTGGGAAGTCATTGAAGGGTTTTAGGCAGGGAATGAAATGATCTGCTTTATGCTTTGAGAGTGTTAAAAGACAAAATTACAACAAATCCAGAGATGGAGATCTTAATTGGCTTTTGTTTGCTATTCTAGAATCATGCAGCAGTCAGAGCCAAAAATGGTTCAGGATGCTTCACCCCACCACATGGACAGGTTATATTTATAGTCAGAGAAAGGGAAGTGACTTACAGAAAGTGCAAGTGAGGTGCGCATATTGCCGAAGGGTTACAGCTTGGCTTTTACCTTATCTGACCTGGTTTGAATAGTTGGCTGCTTGTGGTTGACTGAAGGTCACCTGCTGAAACTTGGCTACTTGTTACAAAAGTAGGCTGCAGGGGTTTGCACATCATGTTAGGTAAACCTTTAGGCCAAACGTAAAACATGTACAGAGCCAGCTTCAGGCTAAACTTAATATAGTGTAACTGCAACCTACTGCACTGTGAGAGCTGAAGTGGACCTTGCATGGTTAGGGAGGATGCTACAGCTGCGCAACCAGGAGACTGAGGGTGACTTGGTTCAGGATACTTGAAATGTAAGCGGAAGGAAATGATTGGATTTGGAAAGTATTTTGCATACAATGTAGAAGAGCTTACCGATAGTTTTAGTAAGAAATGTGGGAGAAAGTCACTGGTTATTCTTCTCCAAGAGAATTTTTTATAGTATGTGTTATATCTGACGGCTGAAGCACAATTTTTGTAAAACATACATGATCCTCGGAAACCTAGGTCATTTTCAAAAATTTTACCTAATGGGAAAAATGCTATGCTGAAGGTTCTGTATAAATGTCCATGAAAATCTTAGTTCTTTTTGTTTGTTTGTTTGCTGTTTGTTTTTTGTTTTTTTGGTATCGGGTCCTTGTGCTTTCAAGGCAGGGAGCGGAACCACTGAGCTAAATCTCCAGCCCAAAATCTTAGTTCTTTAGGAAAATATTCCTAGAAGTGGATTTGCTGGTAAAAATATTTTCAGAAGTTTTTGTATATATCACATTATTTCCCAGAAATTTCAATTCCAATCATCAATGAGAGTTTATTTACACTCCTACCCTTTTCAGCATTGGGCAATATTATTTTTTTTAATTTGATAGAGTGAAAATGGCATCACAACATTGACTTAATTCATTAATGTATATGTGTGTATATGCATATATGTATATTTACTA